GGAACTGAACTCACGACCTTGCGCTTGCCAGGCAGGCGCTTTGCCGCTGAGCTAAATCCCCAGCCCCCGAGACAGAGTCTTGCTATGCAGTTCAGGCTGGCCTTGGACTCACTTTGTAGCTCAGGCTGGCCTCCAACTTGCAGTGATCCTCCTGCCTCAGCTTCTTGAGTGCTGGGATTTCAGGTGTGCGCCACCCTGCCCAGCTAGTCTTTTTTTTTTCTGGTGCTATAAATTGAACCCAAGGCCTTTGCACAAAGCTACATTCCAGCCCATTTTTCTTTTTCTTTTTTTCCTGCTTGGTTTTTCTTTTGTTGAGACAGAGTCTTACTATGTAGTGCAAGCTAGGCTTGAATTCACTTTGTAGCCCAGGCTGGCCTTAAACTCACAGCTGATCCTCCTCTCTCCACCTCCAGAGTGCTGGGATTACAGATGTGTGCTACCATGCCTGGGGTTATGTTTTATTTTGAGATGGGGTCTTGCTAAGTCACTAAATTGCCCAGCTCAAACTCATGATTTTCCTGCCTCAGCTACCCAAAGTGCTGGGATTACAGACGTGCACCACTGTGCCTGGCTTCGTTCTTGTTTTTGCAGTGGACCTTTTGGAGCCATTTAGATCAGAATTGAATGGAAACTGAATGAACAAATTTGAAAAATACAGCGAGAGCAGCTGTAGCTGTTGCTTCCTTTTTCCACTCCCCTACATTCTGCTTGGTGCTTTATTGACCATAAAGATCTTTCACAAGTAACTATTTGCTACAATAAAGTAATTGAATAAGGATTAAACACAGGCCCTGTCCAAGTTGGGCAAGTTCTGTACCATTAGGCTATTTTTCCACTTTACCCCTCTTTTCCAGATTTTGAGAGAGGTTATTTCTAAGTTGCTCAGACTAGCCTCTAGCTTATGATCCTCTTGCCTCAATCTCCTGCGTAGTGAGAATTACAGATGTGCACCACCACACTTGGCTTCAGATGTTTTTTTCTACGAGTAGTTTAGATTTTAAAATTTTGTGTCCTATCTTTTTAATTTTGGCTGAAAAACATTTCTCCCCTGATTTTCTTTACTAATCTGAATATCATTTTTGATAAATTATAATCCATTTTTACCTCTTTCCTAGAATTGTTCGTCCTATTAAACCTCTTAAAATTGAATATATTGTTAAAGCAATACTGGAAATGCATCTTTGCAGGACTTTAATCATTCCTTTATTTCAGATGAGGTGGAGGACCGTTCTACTATGGTATTGTTTTCTCTTGGTCACGTGTCTGCTTTCTGCTCTTCACGCTGTGCCCATAGACATTGACAAGACAAAAGTACAGAACAGCGAACCTGTGGAAAGTGCAAAGATAGAACCGCCAGTAAGTAGAGTGGAAGGAATTATCACTAAATGAAGTGAATTGTAACAAACAAAGTGAAATGGTAAGAATTGTAAGTAAAATATTGCGAATATTATTGCTTATAAAGTTGGGCATTTAGGAATAAAGGACTGATTCTCAAACAGCAATGAAGACAGCACTGGAGAATGGTGTGTTGTTTATCTTTTTTTTTTTTTTTTGGAGACAGTCTCACTAGGCAGTTCAGGCTGGCCTTGAGCTCCCTTTGTAGCCCAGGCTGGTCTTGAATTCGCAATGATCCTCCAGCCTCAGCCTCCTGAGTGCTGGGATTACAGAGTGTGTCACCACGCCCGTCTGATGTGTTGTTTGATATTAACTGTTTGTTAAATGTAATTAGTACATTGAAAAATGAATCATGAAACACTTTCAGTGTAGAGCCAAGGAAACACTGTTATATTAAAAGATGACATGTGAGAATGGGAAAAAACAATTATTACTGGTTATTATCTACTAGCCATGTCTAATCTGCAGCCCATCTTTTTTTTTGTCCTCTCTTTTAAACATTATAATAAAAATTTAAAGATAAAGTAAGTTTTGTTACTCATATGCATTAACTATATTATATATTTTATATACAAGCCAGGACGATAAAATAAAAAGGTGGGCCACAGGTTGGACATGGCTAGGACCTCTAAGCCATATAGGAAATCTACCTTTGCATTACAATAAAGGATGATATCGGCTCTGATAGAAAACTCTTTAATACCTTTTTCATTGGACGGTTGAAACTATCCAAGTAGATATGTCTTAATGTCATTTTGCTAGATACTGTTCTTCAAGATAAATGTCTTTGGATTCAGACGAAGAAAAAATTTCAGAAAAATTACTATTTGTTTCTCAATTTGAAGGATACTGGGCTTTATTATGATGAATATCTCAAGCAAGTTATTGATGTGCTAGAGACAGATAAACATTTCAGAGAAAAGCTTCAGAAAGCAGACATAGAGGAAATAAAGGTAAGTATAATTAAATATTTTTTCTTTTCTTTTTTTTTTTTTTTTTTTTTTTGGCAGGGTCTCACTATGCAGTTCAGGCTGGCCTTGAGCTCACTTTGTAGCCCAGCCTGGTCTCAAACTTGCAATGATCCTCCTGCCTCAGCCTCCAGATTGCTGGGATTACAGGCATGAACCACCACACCTGGCTCAATTAAATACTTTTTCAAAAAAAAAAAATTTGGGGGCCGGGGATATAGCTCAGCAGCACAAGTGCCTGCCTGGCAAGCACAAGGTCATGAGTTCGATTCCCAGTACCTGCTCCCCCCCAAAAAAATAACAGATCAAAAAAAACATTTGATCATGCCAGATCCTGAGCTGAATACTGAGGATATATGGATGAGACTTACTCCTGCTTTAAAGAGCCTTTAGGAGAAAATTGCCCAGAGACAGATTATCCAGATGGGTTTATGTTGAGTTTTAATGGACTCTGGAGATGTATAGGACAGACACATAATCTAGCATGAAGCAGCAGGGAAAGGTGTGAAGTCATTCTTTGTAGGAGAGGTGAGGCCAGAGCTTAAAGACCAAATTGTGAAAAGGAGAGGGGCTGGATAGCATCCTAGGCAAAGAACAGGGAGGGTACAGAGACAAGAGGTCTACAGGAAATGAGGTAGTAATGGTCAGTGGACCGCATAGTGAGAAATAAGGGGCCCAAAAATGAGTGCCCAAAAGCCAGGGTTATGGCTCAGATGACAGGGGGTCGTACAGATCAGATGCAGGGGTAGGATTGTGATCTGAGGACAGCAGGAAGATGTCCAAGGTGTGGTACAGGTTAGGTTCTGGTGCTTTTACTTAGGTCCAGAGCGGAAGAGATAATATCTTACATCAGTAGGGGAGGAAAAACCATTTGCTGCTGTCCTAAGAACCCTATCGTATGCACTTAGCAGTTCCTTAGTACTTGTAATAATTTTTTTTTTTTTTTTTTTAGTTTCGAACTCACGACCTTGCGCTTGCCAGGCAGGCGCTTTTGCCGCTGAGCTAAATCCCCAGCCCCAGTACTTGTAATAATTAAGGGAGGTGTAAATGCGTGACATGGGAGATTTTTTAAAAGATTTTCATTGAAGGGAAATGTATCAGTTTAACTGGGTCTGTCTGATTCAGCAAGTAGAAAAATGATTCCAGTTTTAAATTTTCAGCTACACTTCATAAGATAGCTTTATTTGTTTGCTTATGTTACTTTTTATTTGTTTTTAACTTTCCTTCAAAAAATTTCCTGTTTCTAGAATCAGACTTAGAGAACTGTGTTTGAAGGAATCATTCGGCTCAAAATCCTTTTTACCTTAGTCTCTGTCTCTAGGGCTGGCTCGTTTGTCAGACTGATCCACATCAGGTTGTGGTATTTATTAGAGTTTATGTATGGCTTTTAGTTCACAGCTTTTCTCTTGGGAGCCAACACCTGTTTTGGGGAGAAAGTAACAATGTTATGCCAATAATTCCTCTGAATTATCTTTGAGGATAATCTTTTTCTTCCTCTCAAGATTAATTTGATCTGTGGAGCTTATTTTCTAGGGTGAATGATATTTAATGTAGAACTTTCAATGTCTTCTATCCAGCTGAGTTTAGAATTAAAAGCATTATTTGTAGGTAACAGAAAATGTAGGGGCTGGGGATTTAGCTCAGCGGCACGGCACCTGCCTGGAAAGCGCAAGGTTGTGAGTTCAATTCCCAGTGCCGGAAAAAACAAAAAAAAGGGACTGGGGATATAACTCAGTGGCATAAGCGCCTACCTGGCAAGCGCAAGGTCATGAGTTCGATCCCCTGTCCTGCCAAAAAAGAAAAAGAAAATGTAGATCTTGGGAGGTACTGTAAAGAGATGCTCAGGGAAAAAAGTTAAATCCTTTTATTTATAAAAATATTATAACTTTTATATTTTCTTTCCTTTTCCAGTTAATTTCTGTTACTTATGAAGGGGAGAAAATAAACCAAAACAAAGTCAAGTAGTAATAACAATGAAAAAGGAACACTGGTAAAATAGATAATAAAACTCAAACTAACAGAATCATCATAGATAGCCAAGCAAATACTCTTTTCTTTTTTATTTTTTTGTCTTTTTGAGACAGGGTCTCGCTATGCAGTTCAGGCTGGCCTTGAGCTCACTTTGTAGTCCAGGCTGACCTTGAACGATCCTCCTGACTCAACTTCCCAAGTGCTGGGATTATAGGCCTGTGCCACCACACCCGGCTCAAGCAAATACTCTCATCTCGGGAATAAGTGTAAAATTT